CTTATACGAGGCGGAGGGTGAGCCGGGCATGCTGCCCCGCCCCGCAGCCTGCCAGCCCGCCTTACTGAGGCTGCTCCCCTCCGTGCAGGCCGCAGTACAGATTACGTGAGGTGACAAGCACGGAGCGCCGGCCGAGAACGGGCGCCCAAACATGGGCTGGGGTTAGAGGCCAAGGTCCAGCCTGCGGATCCAGGTTAGGTCGTCCACACTGAGAGCCAGAGTCGAGGCAGTGGAAAACGTTCCTGCTTACATCTCAAACATTGACCGAATCCTTAAGGAACAGTTTAATTTTACACAATGAAAAATGCACATATGGGAAAACCTGTCCAATCTGAGGATAGCAATGCTACAAGGTATGGGGAGGGCCGGCATGAACCCATCCAATCGCAGTAAGAGCAGCTCACTGAGGCCTGGCCCCATAGCACAGTGGTTAAGCAGAGGAAGCCAGGTCCGACACGGTCGGTCAGGGTCGAGCACTGTGTGGTGGCTTGAACAACATGCCGGGCAGATACAGGCATGCCCAAGAGCCTCACGGGATGGAGAATTGGAAGAAAAAGAACTGCAGCACGATGGGGCCCTACGAGGGGTGCTCCCCCACCCCTGTCCATCCCTCATGCTCATGCCTTCAGGGACTTAAAAAAAGAAGTTTAATGATAAGATGAGCATGCACATGCCGTTTATATGGAGGCAACACCAAATTCGCAGGAAACTTTCAACTTACTAATTTCAATAAGACTAAGTTTATAGAACAGGTATTTATAAACTTACCATGAGATCACTACTAGAGGACAAAATTCCAAACAGAGAAGAGACCCTCCGACCAATTCCTGAAAGCATGCCTTGCCCTTGAGGCAGAGCATGCTGAAGAACCTTTCCTGAGCTTTCAGGCATCAACCGAACCAGCTGGCAGCCCGCCGAGGACAAAATGAAGCTTCCTCCCTGTGGATAAGCATTGTGAAGTTAGTCCGGCTAAGCATCTAACCAAGGTAAAGAAAACTAACAGTACTTCCTCGGTGAACCTGCAGAGCAGACATTAAAATCATTCTTCATGGTACTAGGAATTTTTAAGCCACTCTCAAAAATGCTTCTAGTTACTATCCAAGATTTTTTTTTTTAGTATTTGCTAGAGAGCATGTGTGCTTACAGGAGAGACAGATGGAGGTGAAAACTCCTCCCTTGGGAGATGGCCATGCCCCAATCTCTTCTCTTCCATTCTGCTCTTGGAATTTTGGGCACGCACACACACATGCCCAGATGTACTTTATAAGCTGCCAAGTCAGCCACATGGGATTCAACTGCCTTAATAACCATGCTACCTGCTTGCCCAGCTACTCCAATATTGATATTGTAGAGTCCTATGAGAATGGCCTCCCTTGTCTACCTGTTCAAATCCTAGATCCTATTTCTTCTCGTCTCTTTTTGACCCCTCCCTGGCCTGTACTGTCTGCCTAAAACCCACATTTTTAGTCACTCCCAAGCAAAATGACAGCTTTCCAGTAAATGCAGAGGAATACCCATCACACACCTGCACTGCCGTTAGGAAACTGGAGGTCTTCTCACCTCCCAAGTCTACGCAAGTCTCTGTGTAGGTATCTTCAGCAGCAAGGCTTGGCCAATAGCGGATGGATCCTTCTCTGGTGGCCACCATGACAGCAACAGCCTCAAAACAAGATCAGAACACAGTCAGCAATCATGATAAGAGGAGGACCCAAAATCCAGGATCTGATGGCAGTGATGGGAAGAAATAGGACAATTTACTATTTCATGAACAAAAATCAAAAATAAAAGCCCTACTTTAAAATTTATTTTTAAAATTATCAATTATTTTTCTTTTGCTGTGCTACTTTATGGTTTTTTTTTTAAAGAGAAGTTTTTGCTATAGGGCATGTACACTTGTTGAAGAGTCAGAGAGAAAGGAAGTGGGAAATTATTGCCACGCTGCAATAATTCCTTCTCCATTCTCCTCTCAGGATTTTGGGCTTGCATGCACACGTGCCGGCGTGAGTTTTAAGCTGCCAGGTCCAGACTTGAACAGCAGTGGCCACATGGGAGTCCAGAGATGTAACCATTACACCATCTGCTGGTCCCCGCTACTCTGTGAATTTTGACACACACAGCGGAACTATGTGCTTAGTGTAACTAACCACAGTACAGGGTGCAATTCAATCACCTCACCCTTCTAACCCCGGCCACCACTCATCCATCCATCACTACCGTTTGTTTCTTTAGAATTTGCAACAATGAGACCCAGTAAGACCACAGAGCGTGACCACTGACGGCAGGCGATCTGGCTCGGCATCACGGCTCTGTGGTTCACCCGGGCTGTTGCACGTACTGGCAGTCCTTCAGTTTCACTGTGGAGCAGTGTTCCACTGTTTGGACGAACCACAGTTCAGATTGCTCATTCACTGAAGGACATTTAGGCAGTTTTCTGCTTTGGCTATCACAAATAAAGTGGCTATGGCACTGTTTTTTTTGTGGGTATGAATGTAAGTTTTGATTTCCTTGAGGTAGATCCAGGAATGGAACTGTCCGGTCATATGGTAAGTGTATCTGAGCTTTATAAGAAATTGAAGAGTGGCTTTCCCCCGCTGTAGAATGCTGCATGCTCCTAAGCCTTGCCAGTGCTCAACAGTGCCAGGATTTTTATTTCAGCCATTCTAATAGGTGCCTAATGGTATTTCATTGTTTTGTTGTTTGGTTTTTAGATTTTTGCCAGAGGGCACATGCAATAATTGGGAAGAGACAGAGAAAGGGGGCGGGGGGAATTACTCCCCAGAGGGGATGGCCACACTGTAATCCTCTCTTTCGTTCTCTTGAGATTTTGGACATGCATGCACACACGCCTGGCATCTCTCAAGCCACTGGATCTGGGATTCAACCATGGAGTCGGCCATGTGGCATCCGGCCCCTGAACCACCAGGCCACATGCTGGCCCTCTTGCTCTTGTTTTAATCTGCATTTCCCTAACAACTAATGATGCTGAGCACCTCTTCCTATGCTTGCTCCTGTCCTTAGAGCCTCTTTGGCAAAGCATCTGTTTGCATTCTACGATCTGTGTTTGTACCAGACTTTTTTTTTCCTCATCAAGCTTTGGGAGTTATTTTTATATTCCGGAAACCAGTCCTTTGTTGGATGAATGAGTAACAAATACTATCTCCTAGTCCCTAGTTTCTCTCATTTTATTTTCTTTGGCAAAAGAAAATTTTTAATTTTATCTTAAGTTAGTCTTAATTTTATCAATTTTTTCCTTTATGGATCATGTTTTTGGAGACTTAGAAGAACACTGCTCCTAACACGAGGCCATGATATCTTCTCCTTCATCTGGTTTTAAAAGCTTTACAGTTTTTGTTTCACATTTAGATGTACGATTCCTTTCAAACTGATCTATATAACATTAAGAGGATTGGTGAGAAATTCATTTTACAGAATTATGAATCATCAATAGTTCTAACACCATTTACTGAAAAGACTACCCGTCTCCCCTTGAATTGCTTTTGCACCTTTGTTAAAGATCAAACGGCCACTTTTGTGAAGGTCTAGAACCTCTGTGGGGGTCTCCATCTTGCTCCGCCCATGAATATATTACTTTGCCAAATATTGGATTCTTGATTTCTGTGGCTTTTCAGTTATGTTTCAATATCAAGCTAGATGAATCTTCCAGCTTTCGGATGCCCCTATTTTATTTTATTTTATTTTATTTTATTTTATTTATTTTGGAGAGGTTTTCACTATAGGGCGCATGTGCTCGCCAGACAGACAGAGAGACAGAGAGAAAGCGAGAAATCACCTCCCGGGGGGATGGCCATGCCACAATCCCTTCTCCTCCATTCTCCTCTCAGGATCTTAGGCACGCACACACACGTGCCTGGTGTGAGTTTTAAGCCACCGGGTCTGGGACACGAACCATGGTTGACTACATGGGAGTCCAACAACATAGCCATTATGCTAACTGCTGGTCCCAGGATGACCCTATTTTTTTGAGAGGTTTTTGCCATAGGGTGCGTGCGCTCGCCAGACAGACAGAGAGAGACAGAGAGACAGAAAGCGAGAAATCGCCCCCCAGGGGGGATAACCACAATGCAATCCTTTCTCCTCCATTCTCCTCTCGGGATCTTGAGCACGCACGCACACGCGCCTGGCTTGAGTTTTAAGCCACCGGGTCCGGGACGTGAACCGCGGTCAACTACAGGGGAGTCTAGCAACATAGCCATTACGCTAACTGCTGGTCCCAGGATGCCCCTATTTTAAAGGGTTTATCTTAGTGAGCTTTGGCATCACCTACCTGAGTAGAATGCACTTCCCCTGGAGTAGCAGAGTATGCGAGCGCCACCAGGTCAGCACTCCCATGGAAGTCACTGGGTGGCAGCTGAAGCTCCTTGCACACAGATAACTGGAAAATACACATAAACAGGAAGTATTTACATCAAATCCAACTTTTCAAATATGCACCTGAATCCTATTTCCTTTCTCTGCACATTTTAGATTTGGAGTCACTGCTGGAAATGCCATTCTATAAATAATCTTCTCACATCTCTTTTTGATTAGGCTTTTGATAATTTAAAAACAAAGTATCTTAAGAGATAAAGAATTCAGAAAACTTAACAGCTAAACTCAGCCTGAAATTTCAACTAGCCCAATCTCATTCTTGGCTCAAAAGGCCTACTGGTTAGGAGTAGTGCTTAGGCTTCCTGCGAAAGCCAAGGCTTTACAGTCCCTAGGACACTCTCCCAGTGTCTTGGGTAGCATATTTGACACCGAAAACAACCACGACCAAAGAGTAATCGCACCAAGCTGTCCAGCACATACTTCTGAGATTCTCAGTGAAAAACCAGGTTCCCTCTCCTAACTCTGCAGGTCCCCAGGGCTTCTCCCTCAATTTGCTCGAACTGCAAATACCACGCCCTAGGCAGCAGTAGCATCGAGGCCGACAGACAAGGCACTCAGGGAAATAGGAGTCACTCTAACAGAACAATGGTTCTGGGAGAGCTGGCTGCTCTGAGAGCGTGTGGCTGAGCTCTAACAAATATAAAAGAGGCTGCTGGGGCTGGCAGGTGGCATGGTGCTAAGGTGCTGGACTCCCACATGGTCAACTGAAGTTTGAGTCCCAGACCTGGTGGCTTTCTTCCTTTCTTAAAAAAAGAATTATTATTTAATTTTATTTATTCATTCGTTTAATTTGATCAGAGAGAGAGACACATGCACACACCAGGGGAAAAAGTGAGGAAAGCGAGCCACCAGGTCCAAAACTTAAACCATCGTCAGCCACAGGACCATCTAGTGACAACCACCATGCCACCTGCTGGCCTCCCTGGCAGCTTGCTTTCTAACTTTCTCTCTCTCTGGTCAAACTGAAAATATGATGATGATGAATAACATCAAGTAAAATAATTCTTTAAAAAAAATTTAAGACGAGATGGCTGAGGACAAGACCCTGCTCATACGAATAATAACCTCACTGCTGGGGACCAGCAGGTGGCGTGGTGGTTAAGGTGCTGGACACTCCCACATGGTTGATCACAGTTTAAGTCTTGGACCTGGTGGCTTGCTTTCTCGCTTTCTCTCTCTCTCTCTCTCTCTGTGTGTGTGTGTGTGTGTGTGTGTGTGTGTGTGTGTGTGTGTATGTGGTCAAATTAAAATGAATGAATGAATTAAAAAAATTAAGTAAAATCATTCTTTAAAAAATAAATAAATAAATAACCTCACTGCTGAAAGTTGACAGTTGAAAGTTAAGCTACCACCTGGCATCACTTCTCCTATTTTATTTTTATTAAGCATCATTCAGTAAATCAGCGAGCATTTTACCTTCTTAGACATAAGCAAACTCACAGTTCATTTCATGTAGACAGTATTTCATCTTAGGCTTCATTAGGTAGACAGATTGGCATTTTACTCATTGAAAATTTAAATGTCTCAAATGTTATTAAATGTATATGAAATACATCTAGTTTCAAACTTATTAAAGAAGGGCCAGACAGTGGCATAGTGGTGAAATGCAACACTTCCCTTCACCCACATAGGAAGGTCCCAGGTTCTAGGCTCCTGGCTCATGTCGTGGGTACACATGAGCCCGTGATCCAGGCTGGCTAAAGCTGGAAGTGGATCACAGCACCAAGACCCTGTAGGGCTCACTCTCTCTCTCTCTCTCTCAAGTGTGTGTGTGTACGTATACATATTGAAAATTACTTTTTTTTTTTTTTTTTTAGAGATTTTTGTCATAGGGTGAATACATTCACTGGAGAAACAGAGAGATAAAGAGACGGAAAGCAAGAAATCGCCCCCCGCAGGGGGGTTGGCTACACTGCAATCCCTTCAACTCCACTCTCCTCTTGAGATCTTGGGCATGCATGCATATGCGCCTGGCTTGAGTTTTAAGCCAACAGGTCCAGGACTTGAACCGTGGCTGACAATGTACGAGCCAGTGACGTAGCCATTCCGCCATCTGCTGGTCCCAATACTGAAAATCATTCAAGAGGAGAGGTTTTTCCTAATACGCAAATGTGTGTGCACATTCAGTATGTCATGTCACTATGAAAATGCAAATCTACAAGCCTGAGGAGATTCAGATCACTATCCTCCATCAACTCCAAACACTATGGGCAAAAGGAAGAGGAGGTGTCCCTCCTCCCTAGCTCCTCCGAGCCCTCTAAAGAGCCACTACCTTGGTAACAGGTGACAAAGCAATCTTCCAGACAATCAGCTTCTCTCCGCAGACCAGACAGGCCCATCCACCTTCATCTATGCGAACGGTGAGCTGGTCATCAACTAAAAAGAGAACGAGGGATGAGAACTGAAGTCTGACCGTGAGAAACAGCGAAAATCTTTACCACATCTTTACCACCACATGTTCCACCAACAGAGGTTACCGTCACGTACGGGAGTAGTTCACAACAAAAAATACTTGGAATATTCCCGAACCATCAACAATCAAAACAAAGGATGTATCTAACTTTGACATCCACCTTCAGAGATATATCTAAAGCCAGCAGGTGGCATGGTGGTTAAGGCTGGACTCCCATGTGGCCGACTGTAGTTTGAATACCGGATCTGGCAACTAGCTTTTTCTCTCTGTCCCTCTCTCTCTCTCCATCTCTCTCTGGCAACTGCATGTGCCCTATAACAGATTTAAAAATAATAAATAAAGTTAAATAAATAATTCTTTTAAAAAATAAAAAAAAAAGAAAAGAAATATATCCAAAGGCAAAACCTATTTGGATCTAGGTTTAGTACTTATTAATTTTTATCATAAATATATATCCTACTTTCTATAAGAAATATTTAGGAATATTTACAATTTTATTGATAAATCAATACAAATAACTCCCCATTTAGTATATAAAATATTTCAAGAAAAAAATATTCCTTCAAAATAATACAATTTTCTAATAAAAGCTCTTTACAGGTGAAAGGTATGATAAATTATCTCATTATAATGTAGACTTATAGCATTACATTCTCTATTAAGTGATAAAACTAAATTAGCATATTGCTATGCCTTAAGCAATGGTGCTAAAACTCTGTAAACAGCCCTGGAAATGTAAGTAACTTGAACTCTGCTCTTTGCTTAAAGGCAGGGTAAAGGGACAAAATAAAGGCATCCATATCGGCCGAGCTAAAATATCAGCCCTAGGCTGAGAGTGGGCTTTTTGCTAATGTGGAATATCTGCTCATTTTTTTTTTCCTGAAAGTCTTACAGAATCTCGGGGACTAGCAGGTGGCGCTGTGGTTAAGGTGCTGGACACTCCCACATGGCTGACCACAGTTTGAGTCCAGGACCTGGCGGCTTCCTTTCTCCCTTTCTCTCTCTCTCTCTGTGTGTCTCTCTCTGGTCAAATTAAAATAAATGAATGAATAAACAATATTAAATAAATAATAATTAAAAAAAAAAAAAGTCTTACAGAGTCTCCAGATCCTCAACTGATGAGCTCCTGAGGGTGAGGCTTAACACAGTCCTTGGTAGATTTCCACATGGGGAAGAGTGCTCGAGGTTTATGCACCTCATCAGCCTACACATCCAGATTCGTAGGAACCCTCTCCTTGGGAACCAGCAGTTAGCATAATGGCTATGTCGCTGGACTCCGACGTAGTCGACTGTGGTTCGTGTCCCAGACCCGGTGGCTTAAAACTCACGCCGGGCACGTGTGCGTGCGTGCCCAAGATCCCAAGAGGAGAATATGGGACACTTAAAAACTTTGCGTGTCATCCTTGTTCAGGGGCTATGCTAATCTTCTCTGTATTGTTCCAGTTTTAGTATGTGTGCTGCCGAAGCGAGCACTTTACTGGACTTTATTAAAAAAAAAAAAAAAAAAAAAAGAGGAACCCTCTCCTCTGAATCCTTTTAAATGTAAGGCTGTGTGTTATTTTATTTTTTCCTTTTATTTCTTATTTATTTTAATTTGACCAGAGAGATGGGGAGGGAGGGAGAGAGTGATGGGAAAGTGACAAAGCAAGCAGTCAGGTCCAGGACTCGCACTGAGGTCAGCCATGTGGGAGTCCAGGGCCCCCAACCACCACATTGCTTGCTGGCCCCAAGGTTGTTAGTTATTTCTTATGAACACAGTGCTGGTGGCGTGAACCAGAAGTAGATTAAAATGTTTAAACACAATTTAAACTGAAATAATCAGAGAGAAAAATTATACATTCATTCATTCATTTTTAGCGGAACAATGCATGATAGAGGCTACAGCTCAGCTGTCTGAAAACAACTATTTTTAAAGCCCCTGGACTTACAGGCAAGATACACAAGTTCAGGGGCTGGCAGGTGGCGTGGTGGTTAAGAGTGCTAGCCTCCCAAATGGCCGACTGTGGTTCAAGTCCCACACCTGGTGGCTTACTTTCTCACTTTCCCTCTCTCCGTCTCTCTTTCTCTCTCACTCTGTCCCTTGCTAATAAAATAAAAATAAATAAAGTTAAAATAATTGTTTTAAAAACAGATATACAAGTTCAAGATGATAAGAAATATTCCTTCTCCTAGAATGGAGTACTTTTTTTTTTTTTGAGAGGTGTTTGCTATAGGGGGCATGTGCTTGCCAGAAAAAAACAGAGAAACAGAAAGCGAGAAATCACCCCCCCCAGGGAGGATGGCCACACCGCAATTCCTTCTCCTCCATTTTCCTCTCGGGATCTCGCACATGCGCCCAGCGTGAGTTTAAGCTGCCGGGTCCAGGATTTGAACCGCGGTCGACTACATGGGAGTCCAGCAATGTAGCCACGATGCCAACTGCTGGTCCCTAGAACAGAGTACTTTAAACTTTGTTATTCACAGTATGAAATATATTCTGCATCATGATGCAGCCACACATAATTTAAAATAAAACAAACAAAGGTTACTTACCATTATATGAGATGCACTCTGATCGTTCACATTCTACTCTATTTCTTTCTCTTTTATGCTAGTTATGAACCACTAACAATTACAGTTACAATCTACTGTTGGAAAAACATATTCTAGAAAAGCACAAAGACCTAGAATTGAATCCTTAAAAAAAATTACTCAGGCAGATAGTAAGGATGCTGAGAACTTTGCTTACCCATCACCCACAGCCAAGTCCTCATCCTCAAGGTTGCCTTTTTTTTTTTTTTTTGAGAGAGAGATTTTTGCTACTGGGTGTATGTGCCAGAGAGATAGAGAGACAGAAAGTAAGAAATCACACCCCCAGAGGGGATGGCCACACTACAATCCCTTCTCCTCTGTTCTCCTGGGATCTTGGGCACGCATGCACACAAGCCTGGTGTGAGTTTAAAGTCATGGGTCCAGGACTCGAACTGCGGCAAGTCATGTGAGAGTCCAGCGACATAACTGCTATGCCATCTGCTGGTCCCAAGGTTGCCTTTCTAGACCGATGCTGACTACATCACCCAAACTCCTGAACTAGCTCTGTTACCACACTAGGAACATAGTGAATGTGTACACAAAGTCTCTGGGATACTACAGGGAACCCAGAAACAGAGGCAGGGCTTGATTTTACTAATTATTAAACTCAATAATGGGAGGCACTACTTTTGGTTTGTTTAAAGCTAAACTTCCTATATTTGATCAACTTTTGAAATCAGACTGAACTGTCATATCCAGTACTTAAAACCACTGAAGACAATTTGAGTCTTAGGATGAACTCACTCTGCTTTTTAAACTTACTGTATATCTCAGAGTGAAAACTAGAGGGGCTATCTGGATCTCCATTTAGGTGAAGGGGCACCAGAGAAAGCATAAATCTCGATCTCCGTATGAGACAGGGCCTCATCTTGAGCTGTCACTCTGCTGAAATGGAAAGATACCTACCTTCAGCCAATGTTAGGGCTTCCATGACTTTAACAGGCAGAGAAGATCCAAACGTCTTCACGTCATAGTTCATAGAATCAGTTATGGAGTGGTGTGGGAATGGTCGTGTATTTTTTTTTGTGTTCCTCTAATGAAAAGAAACCAAATTATTTCACTTATAACTCAACATTTTCCAGTATTTTCATTTTTATGTATGTATTATTACAATAAAGTGATCTTTGATGCATAAGAAGAAACATTGGTGCATTCATACCATTAAAAAAACTATGGGGGAGTGGGGGCTAGCAGATGGCATAGTTGTTATGTTGCCGGATTCCCACATGGCCGATCACTAGGTTTGAACCCTAGACCCGGTGGCTTGAAAATCATGCAGAGCACATGTGCTTGCATACCCAAGATCCCAGGAGGAGAAGGAATTGTGGCATGGTCATCCCCCCTAGGGGATGATATCTCACTTTTTCTCTCACTGTCTCTGTCTCTCCTGGTAAGCACATGTACCCTAAGGCAAAAACCTCTTAAAAAAAAAAAAATACTATAGGGAACTGGCAGGTGGTATGGTGGTTAAGGCAGCTGGATCCTACATGGCCAACTGCATGGTTTGAGCCCAGGACCCAGTAGCTTAACAAACACACTGGGTGGGATACATGCATGCCCAAAATCCCAGGAGGAAAATGAAGGAGAAGGGGTTATGGTTGGCCATCCCTTCTGGGGGTAGGGATGTACTTTTTCTTTCTCTCTCTGAGAAACACATACACTCTATAGAGAATTTTTTTGAAATTTAAAAAACAAAAACTATGAAGAAACACTGTCTCAGGCTGGCCCATTCCACAGCAGATAAAACCTGTGCATAGAGAGCTGGATCCCGCACGGCTGACCGGTCTGAATCCCAGCCCCGGCAGCTTGAAAAACATGCCAGGCACATGTGCATATATGCCCAAAAAGCTGACAAGGTGTTTTCATTTTCTCTCTCTCTCTCAGTAGCTAGCACACATTGCTCTGGCAATGAAAGAAAAGAAAGGAAAGAAAACCCAGTAGTTCAATTTTTTTATTAGAAAAAAAGAATTTAGGAAAACTTGACCCTCATGCTCTAACACCTGACGTGAGCCTCTTCACTGAAATTCTAACTCTACCTCCTTAATTGTGAAATAAGAACGCTGGACTAGAACAGTGTTTTTCAAATTGGGAGACATTTTAGGGGTTTTAGTCAACCTTTTAAAGCTAAAATAAAATATAAGTCTAAATTATACATTGTGGTGGAAATATTTTACAAAAATTGGGATGGTTGATCTTTAAACTCTCATCCAGTTCTGGAATTGTAAAAATCTACAAGATCTGAGCCACCACGTAATGAATTAGGGAGGGTCCTGAGCATCAGTGTCACGTGGTGTAGATGACATGCGGTAGAGATATGTATGTAAAACACACGGGGATGTAACAGGAGAGTCTATTACTTCCTTCTCATCCCCGTCTCCACTCAGTACAATCATGTAAAGTCACCGGCGTAAATTATTCTGCCTCTATCACAAAGATTAAATGGGACGCACACACAAAGTGGCTGAGGACTTTGTTTCCTGACAAGAGTATCATGACAAAGGTTTTTCTTTAAATGATCACCAGAAGATAGAAACTTACATACACACACAATAAAACACGGCTTTTGGGACCAGCAGTTAACGTAATGGCTGTGTCGCTGGACTCCCATGTAGTCAATCACGGTTCGAGTCCTGGACCCGGTGGCTTAAACTCATGCTGGGCGTGTGTGCGTGCACGCCTGAGATCCCAAGAGGAAAATGGAGAAGGGATTGTAGCGTGGCCATCCCCCGGGGGGTGATTTCTCACTCTCTGTCTTTCTGTGTCTGTCTTTCTGACGAGCGCATGTACCCTATAACAAAAAACTCTAAAAAAAAATAGTTTTAATTCTGATTTTTCCTGAAAGTGCTGATCTTGTCATCTGCATTTTTCAAAATGCAGATTACCGTGTATTCTATAGAACAACACTTCTCCTTTAAAGTATTGCAAAGTGTTGTAGATAAATTTTAACCATAAGTTCAAGATCCAATTGCAAAGGTAAATTCACTTTTGATGAACTCAGAAGAAACTACTCAGAAACAGATGTCACCTTCTTCTAAAGTTTTAGGTTAATTACTGGGGGAAGGGCATGATTTTACCAGAGATGGGGGTGGGGGAAACCTGGTAGTCACTTCAGTTACAAAACTAGTACTTTTCTCTCACCTTATGGAAAGGCTTTTCCCCCAAATTTGTTTAATGTTCAATTCTGTAGCTAAAAGTTCTTTAACGACCAATTAGTAGATACTAACAGTAGCAACCGTATTCGTCATTAAATAATGACTTCCCCAGGGCTGGAAGTCCTCGTTACCAGCATCAATCTACGTCTGCATCGTGGCATTTCATTCTAACTCTACAGGCCTTAGCACAGGCAAAGAGACAGTGCATTTCAGAGATGAGAACATCAGGAGGGACTTGCACCAGACCAGAGGGGTAGGAGGAGGGGGCGGGTAACCACTGTTTCAAACCCAGTTTGCTTTTTACTTCTGCACAAAGGTAATTTCATGAAAAGTGCAAAGCGAAGACTCAACTGATGAATTAAAGTGAAGGTGAGATAACCCGCAAAAGCGGCGAAGGTCTATTTCTGACCCTTTGGCATTTCTCCCTCCCTTCCGTTCCCGGTTTTCGAGACTCCTGGAGACACCACCGCACTGGGCCCACCGTGGCCCGCGAGCCTGCGAGTCTGCAGACCCACAGGAGGCGATCACTCACCGCGAACTCAGCGAGCTCCGCCGGCCGACGCGCGAGAAAAGCGCCGGGGAGCTGACTGCAGACCCCAGGGACAGACCCTTCCTGCTGGCCGCCCGAGGCGTGGAGCCCGGCCCGACTCCGGCCAGCAGGCCCCTGCGGGAGCCGGGACCCGGGGTCCGCGGAGAAGGCACGGCGGGGAACATGGCCAGGGCGAGCGGCGACAGGGAACTCGCGGCTCCCAGCAGTGGAGCTGAACTGCGGCCCGCGCAGAGATCGAACACCCAAGGGACAGGAGGGCGAGTGGCGATGACGTCAAAACGCAGCGCCGCGTCGGCGCAAAGGCGGGCGCGCATGGTGACGTTGAAGCTCAGCGCCGAGGCCGCCAGGCCCGGTCGGTCTGCTGCCTTCCGTTCGAGGCCTGGGGCCGCCGGTGTGCACAGCTTCCTGGGACCGGCCCCTCCGCGGCTGCCCGCCCGGACGCCAGC